CAATGCCTTAACGACTAGCATACACAAAGACCCAGCGAATCTACCACATATTTTGAAGAGCGGCTCTAAAGCACCACCAAAAAGTCCAAATGTTCGGTGATAAAAGACCCACTTTCTCTACATTGACGTCCGCAAAACAAGGACCTGAAAGAACTAATTGTTGAACATTACAAAGACGAAGGGGAACACCATTCTCATCTGAGAAAGAATCCGTCCGAACAAATAAAGTACTAGCAGGCTGCCCACAACACCGATATAGTCATTGTGGACTCTGCCAACCAGAATTAAGAAGGGCAGGTAAATCAAGTGACACACAAGTCCCCAAACCCCTTCGAACACAATGCGTACGGTGTGGAGGCCAAAATACGCCCTCAAGACCGCCAAGCAACCAGGCCATGCAACTATTGCGTTAACTGTTACTCAGAGACCACCTTGCGAAAGTATGCAGATCCCCAAAGACAACTTGAAGCCAAAGGGTTTAAGAGAAGCTAAAAAAACAAACAACAGGAGCCTCCTCCGCCACAATCAAACACTAATTGCCAGCTTCACAGGAAAAAACGACTAATTTCCATATAACTTATCCGTTGTTTTCCGTTCTTCTTTAGTCTCCGCTGTTCATGATAACTTGGAAAATGACAAATACCTAATAACGCTTTCAGTCTGTTAATCTGGAAAGGACTGTAAAGCTTCAATGCAGGTGGACTATGCCACTTCATGTCACAACGCTCTCTTGTCAGTCTTCGAGAAACTATCATCTGCCACCAGACTGAGACCTTCTCTCTCCTATAAATATCCTTCCGAAAAATATCCTATAAATATCAATCCAATCGGTAAGGTCACTAAGCCCACGTAAGGGAAACTCACACTTCGAAACATCGAAATTACAAGTCGTAGATTCAGCGCACATTCAGGAAAACCAGCTCCCCTTAGTTGAAGTGACAGCAAGGGTGTTGTTCTCCAAAACAACGAACATAAACCTAGCCAGCCCCACATCCACATTTAGCCACTTACACTCAGATGACGTCCACGCCGTCGAAGGTCTCAGTGACTTTACGACCAGGGGTCCATTTCTCGAAAGTTCCGACAACTTTTCAGGCCCGAAAAGCTGTTCTATGTTCGCCGTGTTTGCATTCAAGATGAGTTTAAATAATTTTGAAAATGTCAGTGAAATTGTCAGTTAACGAAGCAAAATTGACCGGTTTTTGAACTACATGTAGGAACTGGGCTTTCAGGTAGCCTCTCACGCAGGCTCTTGTAGGGGAGTCGTATTTCCTCCCTCCCCACAAACGCCTGCTTAGCCAAGACCAACATTTCTTTTCGCCGCTTTGCCAATCAAATGCATATGGTACCTACCAAAATATAGTGAGTTTACCTTGCACACAAAAGCTTTTCACGCAAACGGAGCCAGGAAAAATGATCTTGATAGAGCTTTTAGCACCCGTGTTTATCAAGTTTAAGATTTCTCGGTTAAATTCATTTCAGATAAAAGCGATTTACGAATTTTTAAAGTAACAAGGCGACATATACGCTAGTTTGCTGACTGGCTATGGCAAATCGCTTGTTTAACCAGTTTAACATTCGGTGATCGATAGCCTCAGTCACCACTTTTTCGGGCCACGTAGCGGTAGTTGTGTCACCTCTCGCATCAGAGTATCCTAGTCAGTCTGCACGATTTGTAGCCAAAAGACACGGAAAAGTAGAGAAAACAGCGTATTCGTTTGCTTTTGGCACTATACAGTCACGGCAGAACACTGAACGTCGGAGAGAGATTCTGTCCCATCGACGTGGAAAAGTTATGTTGATGAGGTAGATTATAAAGCAATTTTAAGAGCAGGGAAGATGGAGTAATTTTGTTTCATGTGTCGAGATGAGTAAGAAAACTTCAGAGATTTCGACGCTGAAGTTCGCTTTGTTGTTGCATGAAGTGTAAAGTTTCACCTCTAATGTCAACATCTTTATTCGAAATTTGCTGATATACCCTTCGATTTACAGACTGCCACATAAATGTAAATGATGCGACAGAAATTCCATACTGATGACGCAAATCAATGTTTACTTAATAAATTCGGTGGTCATGGGGTTCCAGATGTAAATTTATTCAATTTTAGGTTTCTCCTGGTCGATTTTGGTAAAGTGTTGTGTTCATCTGCGAACGAGCTCCAGCAAAACTCAAATGCTTCTTCTAGAGAAGACTATATTCCACAAATATTGACTGTTTTGTTAGAGATTCATCACGTTTACATTTGACCTTTGTGGCCTTTTGTCTTTTGTCTGTCATTCGTAAACAATAGATAAAACAATGTAACTACTCCGTTGACCAATCAGGGCTTCTGACCGGATTCTGGACAGATTTTACCGTCATCAGTATGGAATTTCTGTCGCTGAGTCGCAGACGTTCCTCCGCGCGAAACGTCCGTAGCGGCGAAGAGCGTGGAGAAACGGATGTTTTCGCAGGCTACACTTTTCTTTGAGGGGCAACTAAACCAGCTTTACCAGAAAATATCAAGAAAGCGACGTAATTTGACTTATTGGAGTTTACTTGTAGACAGAAAATTACTACATTATATAATTTGCAACAAAATCCTAAAAATACACTTGATGAGATTCCCGGAAACACTTTCAATTAAACGAAAATATAGCACTTACTAAGTAAACAACTGATAAATAGAAAACCGATCATCCCTCTAAGGGAGAGTGCATAGTGCCAGATATATACCTCGACGCTTCTCGTCACCCACCGTCCCTTTTTGGGGGTAGCTGTATATATAACAATTATTCACCGAAGTGGAGGTGGCTAGTGATGGATATTTACCAAAGCCGCGTTAGCATCACTAGCCACCGACACTGAAGTGAATAATTGTTTTAGTATATACTAAAACAGTGAGATAATTGAGCCCAAAAATGATTATTTTTAACTCATTTACTGTTGCCTGCAACGATTACAATTTTGGCGCGCAATGACCGAACGGCCGCTGTCGTCGCTTTTCAGTCTTGCCGGCAAATAAAACTTTTGAAGGCATTTGTTTAGCTCTTGCGGGAAAATTTCCTCAAAATGAGTTGTGAATCCTCTTTGTATTTAAAATCATTCTGTAAAAAGGATTATTAGATTTAGTTTTAAGCTTATTTATGAACAAGTCAACTAAAAAAAGTAACGCAAGACTTAAACTTAGTTTGCATTTGTGAACAACAAAACTTTTTCGCCGGTTTTATCGATAAATTCAAGTCAAAAAGACAAAGCTTTACCTGTAAAAACTTCCACCCCAAGCTTCGTCACTTTCTTCGTGTATTTCGGAAACAGCTTGCTTTATTAGTTGTGAAATTTCTTTGTTTGTTACGGCAGCAAACCGGGAAGGTGTTTGCAACTTACGCGAGTTTGGCGTCTCTCGCTCGGAGGAACTGGAGGTGAATCAGTGAATAGTGAAGGATATTCACTGATTGAGTAGCCAATCAGAGCGCGCGAAAAACACTATCCACTGTTTTAGTATATACGAAATACTATCATATCCTCAAATAATAACACTGAATAAACAACAACACAAAATATTTGTTTATCTTACAACTTTTCCATAAAAAAAAGATTTGTGAATATTCCTGGCGGTAGCTTCTCGATCTTGCTTGATGATAAATCCCTGCAGCAAAATTGAAGTAAAGAGGGTCAAACACATCATGCAAAAACCTGCTACTTAAATATTAGCAAAGATCTTAATGGAAATCCTCTTGCCAAAAGAAAAACCATCTCACAAGAACAAATTATCGAGCTAGTAAATAAAACAATTCTAAACGTTTTCTTTTCTGGCAGTCTTACAAATTCGAGTTATTTTAGGAGATTAAATAAAAGAAATAATTGTACGTCAGTGAGGACAAACCAACAACGATAACAATAATGATACCCATTTTTACTAAATCATTTTTAAGGTTTAAATGTAAAGCTTTATATAGTGGAAAATAACTAGAACTTACCTTTACCGGTAAATAATAGTAGTAATAATGACGATGATGAAGATGATAATTTTTAATGAAGATATGCAGTGTGGTAATTACATTTTAAGCAACTGCAAATAAACTCGAAAAATTTCGGGACTTCAACGGGATTCGAACACATGGCCTCTGCGGTAGCGCTGCAGTGCTCCACCATTTGAGCTGTGAAGACCCACACATTGGGACACGACAATTTTTTTTCAGATAAAACCGCGTTTGTTTGCAATTGTTTAAATTGCAATTAACACTGCGACGACCGCATCTTCATTTAAAGTTTTCATTCCCACAGTTCACATCATCTTCAACAATGATAAAGATAATAATTATAATGAAAAAGAAGATTAATGTTAGTTCTTAGCTTCGTTTACGGATGCTCGTTAAACATTATGTAATGCTATTGGTGGCCGGGAACATGGCAATGTGCGAAAAAAATAATGAATTAGTTGATAGAGCAGCGTTTATTGATTCCGTGGGGAGTTTGAGTGCCCATTTGAAAGATAAGGCTTTTGCAAAGCTCTGTGATTCCTTGGTGTAAAAGACACTGCGTATTTAAAGAAATAAAGGAAGGTTGAAATAGCGCGCCGCAGGTTTTGATGCACCTGTGTCATTTTTTTGGACATCTGTCGCCTATAAGTATCATCAGTTTGTCGCGCGCCCAAGTGTGTCTTATTTAGTAGCGTGCAACAGGTTATGCTGTAGATAACGATTGGGAAGGTGAATGCGTACAGCCGAAATTTTTTCCACATTGTAAACGAAGGGGCAAGTTTTGCATTACACGCGCACTCAGTTGAAAGTCAAAGGTTGATCACCTTTAGAGCGCTTATAACCAGAAAGCTGCCTGACGCTCTTGTCAAGTTAAAGTAAACAAGTACATAATTATTGCCAAAAGATTCTCTTACTTTCAGGGTCGGGATTCTGGAGCATTTTGAAGTTTTTTGTGTCATACTGGGATAAAACGATGGCAATGTTAAAAAGTAAGAAAACATCAGGCCAACTAATTTAAGGTGAAAAAGGAAATACACTTACAATTCAGTAGTTGTAGTTGGAATGCAGTTCCAGTTATGTGTTATGTTGCTTTTACTACAGTCGTGTTCGTTGGTAACTTGGCCAGAACTTGTTATCGAACCTGTACTGCGACACCAATGATTGCAATCTGCAAAGTGAATGAACGCAAGAATAAGGCATTTGGTGGCGGCAATTTTTCAAGGAAGAGGCACATTTCGATATATGCATTAATACTGTATTATTAGACAATAAGGAATTTTCATTTTACTCAGAGTAATGGCGAAACCCAAATTTCCATATTTGGTAAATCCTTATTGTTTACAGACCTAAATTGGCACAAATTACCCATGTTCTGGTGTTCAAAACATTAGCAAAATAAAAGCAAGTACGTAGTCTAAAACTTTTTACATTCATTTTTCACGGAATGAATTGAATCATTAACGGATAAAATAAGGACAAAATTCAACACAACTGTTTGTGCTAATTGCAAAATGTCTTATCTACATTGAATGAAATTTAACAGCATTGAATCCTTACCCAGAACGGTTACTTCAACCGTTTTTGAGTCATTTCCTTCATTGTTTTCTGCTAGTAGAGTATACTTGTAGGTACCCGTCCGATTTAGTTGGAGTCCTTTTCTGTTGACACCGCCCTCCAAAGGTTTTGATGTATTCACTAGGGTCAAGTTAATCGGTAGGGTACCTTCCAGCAGAAACCAGATATAATGGTTTGGTACAGTTCGCAGTTCCGCCAACGGTACCCTTATCCTCGGCTTTTCTGAAAAAGACAATTTAGCAGGTTTCTACGATTTTCCGATTTCAGGTTATATCAGGTTGCAGGCAAAATTATAGTTGCTTAAACCTACTTGAAAAATACTTCAAAATTATAAGCGAATACTCTTTGTATCGTAGAACACCTCACTCAACCAAACAAAAGAGTATTTAGCGGAGCCTCAGCATACACGTGTGGTGGAGCCTCCATTGCTATAAAATATTGAAACCTATCGATCAGCGAATATTCCAATAAAGATCTTGGATTTCGTTTGTTTAACTTAAGACAAAAAAAACTTTCACAAACAAAGTTTGAAAGATGTGCTTTTAGCTTGGTCACGCGTTTTTTCAAGCTCTAGAACCAATCTAGTCTGAGATTGGTCAAAGTTTTGACAGGTGAATTCATGTGTTAAATCTTACCCAGCATCTTCTTACTTGGGTCACTGAAATGGAGCAGTAGGTAACTATTCGTCGGGGCCCGATATACGATAAGAAAGAAACATAATTCGGCCCGATTTTTCTTTTAGCTCTTTCCTTTAGACAATAATATTGACTCTGATATTTGTAACCTGTAAATTGGCTGTTGGTTGCTACCGAAGAAGTCTTGTGCATGAAAACGATTTTTTTTCTGTAAACGTTTTAAGACTTTAAGTTTGATGGGGGAGTTATTTTATTCCAGTTGTGAATTTTTTTTTTATCACCTAGACCCTCACTCAAAAGGAGGATTCTTTTTAGTGGCAATAGAGGAATTATTACCTACATATTATCCGGTCATTTTTAGTCATTTACTTCGAACTCTAACTTGAATTTCACGCAAAGTAATTTTCCACCCGTGACTTTCGACCCGCATCCGCGACATCAAACCTGCACCCGCGACATATAATCCACGACCCGTGAGCCGCGCCATTAGTCAAACTCATTTTAATGATGAGCTAATTAGCATTCTTATTGAGTTCACATTTTGTCGTTTTGATAACTTACTATCGCTTACCTTTTCTCGTGTAGTATGCTCCTTCAAAGATACCAAGGGTATACCAATACATTTTTTTTAAAGTCAACCGCATGAATCGTCCACTTGTTTGTATGAGGAAGGGCTTTCTTGTTCCAGTAAAAACTCCTAGTACGGGATCATTTGTCCTTTTTCCGTCATAAACTTGGATCTCGGCTTTATTCCAGTTATAGCCAGATAGACGAAATGTCGTAAATATCAGTTTGACGGTGTGGTTGGATGGTGCTGTGATGATCCACGTACAACGCTTGTAGCTCTCGGTGAAACTGGAGCTGATTAACCCACTGTATCCGTTAACAGGAAAGAAACATGCTTCAGAGTTGACTACTGCAAATAGAAGTGCGAAAATCAATGTTTAAAAAACACACAAAGTTTACTCTCTTAACAGGCTAACTTTTAACTCTTAACATGTTTTATTATTCATTCAAAATATTTCCCCAACTCTGATTGGCTAAAAGCACACGCATAATTTACCATAACCAGTTACTGATGACCAAATTTGGAAGAATTTTGTGTTTAACGAGGAAATGACGTCAAAAATGCAGCCTTCTACAGGTTAAGGCAGGTCAGCACTTTTTAACATCTGTCGAAAGGCCCTTGGACACCTTATGAAGTTTACACAACGTAGTATTCCTTATCGTTTTGGATTGGATTAGGGTTAAGCACTGCCTTTACTGATTAGGGTTAAGCACTGTTTCGAAACTGATTAGGTTCTTTTGTTGGGTTGGGGTTGATGCTAGATGTACTTTAATTATTTCCTTACCATCCAACAAATCCTCAGTGGTCTAGTGGATAGTGGATGGTTAATGTGGTGTAGTGGCATTTTGGGTCGTGGGTTCGAATCCTCTTGCCCTTCATATCAATTTTTTTTCTTTTAAATTGAAGAGACTTGCACTTTCATAAACGATTTCCAGCTTGAAATACTGTATCATCTAAGTGTGATATAAAAGCAGAAAACAGTTCTACCTTGTGCATAATCATAAGGAGAGAAAGGGCCTATCGGCGGATGTTAACGAGTGCTGACCGTTAAGGCACCGTCAACCGAGAAGACCTGGGGACGAGATTGAGTTGTTTTCGTTGTAAAAACTAAAACACTTCACTCGTTTCAAGAGTAAGAACTGCAGCTGGAACGAGGCGAAATAATGGCTAAAAACATAGCAAAAACAGCAAGAAGACAACTCGGAGGGCGACATCTGCTATTTGGAGAATATTTGCGGAGCTGGACAAACCTAAAAGTAAACTATCAAAGATAAACTTAACATCGATGCAGGTAAGTTTGTTTGAGCTATGTTTTTAAACTAGGAATTATTTTGAATGAATAATAAAACAATTATTGAATGCGGCTATCGTATCATATGAAGGATTATGGAGATCTCGGAAGGTGTTACCAACCTTCTCGATAACACCCTCCTCGATCTCCATAATTCTTCATAAGATACTCAGGCTCATTCATAAAATTGTTAAATCAGTAATAAGAATTATCTTTGGTTCCATAGCACTAGAAGTGGTTATTATGATCGCTATTATACCAGCTAATTATCATGAACACCCCCTTTTAACATACCCAGTAAAATCTATATCTTCACTGGTTACCGGAGAAAATGTCACCGGGCTGGTTTATTTCCCACTGGGTTTTTTCTTCTTAGTTTTGTATCTCTCATAAAACCTAAAAGGGTTGACAGGCCCTACATCTTTACCGGTATGAAACCTTTGAAAACCCTTTTTTTGTCAATGGTAATTATGTTTTATATTTTTGCTTCTTTTAAACAAATATGAATTACGAAATACTCTGATTTTGTAGAAGCCACAGTAGAAAATGGTCGGTGGGGGGGGGGGGGGGGGGGTTTTTTGGGGTAGAAGGGCACTACCCGTCAGGTTTAGGGGGGAAAAAATTGGGTCAGAAATTGGGCCCCGGGAAGGGGTTTCCTGGGGTTTGTACAAGGGGGACAACGGCGGTTTGAAAGGTTGTTTCTACTTGTTTCTTTTTTTTAAGGTCAAAAAAAATTTTATTTTTTCGCACTACTCGTCAGGTATCAGGGAGAATAAATTGAGTCACGAATTGAGCCACTGGATAGGGTTTCACTGGGTCTGTTACAGAGGGACAACTGATGTTTGCAATGTTTGTTTCACTTGTTTCTTTTTTGTAAGAGTCAGACAAATATTATATTTTAATAACTTACATTGTAAGACTCATTTGTTTGTCTGAGTGTCAGTTCTATAAAACGTAACTGTGCACACCGCCATTGGTAAGGACATTTGTTGAGAAACATAAAAACTCACATGCAAAGAGTCAATCAAATGCAACCTCTGAGCTGAATGGCACAAAACATGGATTCACCTTAGTTGAATGCAAATTTTTTGTAGGTTTTACGTTTTTAGAATACGGGAAATTAGCAGACTTTAATAAAAGACTCTTATTTTAATAATTAAGGACATTTTAGATAAAATCAATAATGCTTAATCATGAAGCTTGTTTGGTTTAAGGCGAGCTGGTTCGGAAAGTTACGCAAGTAAAGAAAGTCTTGAGATTTAGTAACGGAGCTATATGAATGGACAGGGCAAACCGTCCTAGATTATCTTACAAATTTTGAAGAAAACAGTAAAAAAAGGTTAGTAGTACATTACGTAAAGATGCAATGTAGTGTATACAGGATAATGCTTGAGCCCGAGGCCTTCTTACAAAGCAGCAGCAGAAGGCTGAAGAGCGAGGTCATTCCCGATTGAATGCACCTTTCAATTGTTTTAGAACCAGCAGGTCATTATTGTGGCCATTGAAATGGAACAGTAAGTTATTATTCCTTATAATGACCCCCTGTTCCTATCTCAGTGGCCTGCTCTTTCATTCATCAAAAATAATAACCAGTTCAAAAAAATGGAAGGATGCATCTATACGATGTATGTGCAGTGTTATCAGTCGGTAGATTTCTCATACGGATTATGGCAGCGGCTGATCTACAAACTACAAGAAAATAAGCAGACATGGAGTAATGATTTTCATAGATAATTGATAACAACAATTTCAGCATTTGTATTGCCTTAGAACGTTTCAAGTTAACCTCAACATTTTGCTTGTCAACGAAAAATTATTTTTTGCACATTTATTATCATTTGCACTAAAAATGTGCTTGGCCATACTTTGTTTTTGAATTGTTTTGTGCTACACTTCTAGCTGGTTTGTTAATACATAACAGAGAAAAGAAAAAAACGTAAAAGATGACAATACTGAAAGAATCATAATTTTACTTGCCTGTAACTGTCCACACTGACAACAAAATTAATACAAGCAAAATTCTTCCTTGCCTTGACATCTGCAATAGAAAAAAAATAACATAGTAAAGATAGTGGTCTCCTCACGTGGACTGATTTGCGGTATACGAGAACAGCTGTTGTATTTGCCCCTGGAATATTTTTTTACTATTCCTGAGCATGACAACAAAAACTTCCAAAGGCCAAATTGATCCGATGTTTGCGCGTTTTATGCGACTTATTTGCTATCAACAAATTTAGTGCAAAGCCATCTATTGGTCGAGTGATTCTCAATACAATTTAGCAACAGGCCGTGAACAAAGACAGAGTCAGAGGTTTCAAGTGGCTCTCCTCCAATCAAATTGTTCATATCTTCAGGAAATCTTTTCCACGTACTGTTGTGCTTGTTTCACCCACAGTTCACTTTAACTTTTTTTAAAGTCGGTTCCAACTAGCGTACATTAGTGTATCAACCAATGGCATTGAAACCGCTAACATAAAGGTCATCCTCAGGGTGATTATCTGGGCTAGACACTATTCTGAACCCTCCTTATACACTATACATCTTCCTTGAGGCCGGTCATCTTCATGCTCATACAGGAACTCAGCTGCAATTAACCAGAGATAATCAATTGTCAGGACCTTCGCGTGTGGCCCTCGAGTCGCACTCTTCTGTAGAATTCAAATTAGCCTTGCTTTTTGTGTGTATAGTTCAGTAAAAACAAACAGTTCAATGACCACAACTTGGGTTCAGTAGAGACACACAAATCAATAAGAATATGTGTATTACTCCTCGTCTAATAATATTAGCAATGGGTGTGTTGTGGGAAGGTAAATAGTGAAACTCTAGAACCCTGCAGAAGCGCGTTGGAAGAATTGTAATTTAAAAATCTAGTGGTGACACTGCGATGAAAGCTTTGAAGTTGCCAAGCCTTAGTTCCTGTCGCGATGAACACATCCTAAAGCATGTAAGGAAATGTATACATGGTCGATGCACTCAGTATTTTAAGAACTACTTTGTTTTTAACAAGGACATTTGTGTTCGTTCAACCCGCCAGAGCAATCTCTTGCATGTGGTCAAGAGATCCTTTTATTACCATGGAAGTATGGTTTTTAATAGTTATTGTAAATGTCCTTAATCTTGAAAGATCTTGTTATTAGTTCGTCTGTTATATTACCTTGTATATATGTTTATTAGCCACCCTCACCCTTTGCTTATAACCTGGTTTCTGGTTGTATGCTTTATTACTAGGGAGGGATTGAGGTCCTGGCAACCCTGCAAAAATTCCTGCTTTAATTTAAATTCATCGATGTCTAGCTTCCTCCATTTTGATATAGTGTGCTCCTTCCCCACATAAGCCTCCAAAGTCAACGCCGTATTTTGAAGCCTGCCTTTCAGTACAGAGTAACAGTTGAATGGTTAAAAACCATTGCGCAATTTTTACAACCTCTGATCTATTAAACGGACACCCTCTATTAAGCGGACACTGGGAAAGGTCCTGAAGGTGTCCGCTTAATAGAGGTTTCACTGTATTTTTATGTTTCAGTCAGTTTAGTGGTGGTTCCCATTGTTTGAATTAACTCTCATGGCAAAGCTCCTTTAACGCTCCACTCTCGAACGGTCAAAACTTTATTTTATTTTGTAACAATATTAACAACATACTACAAACTTTTATAACGCGCACAAGACCTAAGTGTTCTCATAACTTCGAATAGTAAATATAATTACATGAAGAACTGAAAATATACACAGTTTTACATCCAGTTTGTCTATGTAAGTGTAAGCTGCTCTGATGGTTCCTGTCTAAA